TAATCTCACAACTTTAATACACTTCCATACACTTTAATCATCAACTTTAGTCATAGTAATCCTCATTACATCTCTTGAATATAAATTTAAGCCCTAGACACTCAAATCATCACTAATCATCCCTTAACAACCTAGGGTTTTCAGATTTAATCACCCTATTATCACAAACAACATCAAAACTACTTAAACAACACCCATAACCTCAAAACACCTATTAAATGCAAACCCAAGGGTCTGGCATCCTTAAAAATGAAACCCTAGCTACACCCATCACAATATCTAGCTCAAAAGGCAAGTTAGATGACAAGAAAGTGATTAAATAATTTTCCTTAGCTAGTTGGGATCCCAAATCCATGCATAATCAAAGCCTTAGTCTAAACCCTAGCAGAGGCAAGTATTTTGGCACCCTACAATTCAATTTCCTTCCCTCTCTAATTTTTCGAGCAAAAAAAATATTGAAAATAAGGCATATGTCACGGTAAATGGTACAATATCGAAAAATCTCACTTAGACCTAATAATTTAGCCCAAACCAGTCTAATACCTATTTTGAACCCAAATAACCTTAATACATGATTTTAGGCCCAATCTAAACCATATTTAAGTGCCTAAATAATTAATTAACATCCATCAATCTCAATCAACATAAATCCTTGAAATTCATACTTCTTCAATTAAATTCTCAAGTACACATATTTTCTCAATTAATTCCTTAAGTACACATATTATCTAATTTAAAAATAATTTCTCAAATTAAATTCCTCCAGTTGTCTACAACTTTTACAATGAAATCTCTAAGTAAAATTTTGGATATTACATTTATCAAATGTGTGCCGATTTGCTCAATATTTGCTCACGAGTGACTTCAATGAGTCAAAGATGTAAGATCTAAGGTCAATGATGGGTGAGATTGAGCATGGCATTGTTGGTGTGTTTGAGATTTGAGATGGAGGAGAATCTAGACAAGGAAGACTAGACGTGAGGCTTATTTGCCACATGCTTGTCGGAGCAATATTTTCATATTTTTCATATTTTTAGAGCAATATTGCTCATTTTAAAAGGTAAGAATACCTATTGCATTTTTCTAAAAACTTTTGAGGAATTTTTATTTGTTAATCCTTTTTTGTTTCCCTATTTGGTATTCCGCTTCCATATTTTCCTCTCACAATGGTTTTGCCTGAAATCATATTGTTCCTCCAAGCTTTTTAAAGCAAAACTGTTAAAAATGTTCCCACTAAAGAGGTGTGTATGAACTCTCCCAGCATCATTTCATATCTCACATCGTCTTTATGCGACTAACCCTGCGTGACTAATTTGTACGTGGTTCTCCTGAGTAAAAATGAAATTAAAGGGGCTTATTTATAAATTTAATTAAGCAAAAGAAGGAATCAAACTAGCTAATTTGAACTAATTATTCCTTTTTTGGTTGTTCTATACATTGAGATGGCAGCAGCTAGCTAGAAAAGGAACCAACTCATCAGTACGATTCTATGACCAAAATATGCATCCTACGCTTTTAAATTTATAATATTTTTAACTATCCTTTTGGCCAAAAAAAAAAACTATCTCACGAGAATAGAGAAGATGTAGTTAACTTTTTAATATGATCTAAAAAAAATTATAAACAGTTTTAAATAGGATTGAATTTGAAAAAAAAAGTTATAGTTTACCATTTTATATAAAATGACTAATAACAAATAAAGCATACATGATCATTCAAATTATTATAAAAAATACTGGTATATAGGAACTAGGTATAAAAAGGTGAAGCATATTACAAATGAGATTATATTTAATAGGATGAACTAGTTCCTAAACCAATATTTAAATTAATACCAAGAGAAACACACACATTTATGCAATATTTAGTACGTAGAAAAATATTTGTTTAAAAAAAGAGAGATGCATTTAGAAAAGAAATGAGATAAAGCATTTTTTTTATTTTATTCTTAAAAAATACTTCATTTGTCTTAGTTTATAAGACATTTTTTAACTGATTTAATATTTTAAAATATAAGACACTATATCAAAGTTAAGATTTCATTAATTATATATGTTCTACCTTCTTTATTATATTTTCTCTTTCTATTTAATGTTTTAAAAATAAGATTATGTTAAATGAAGATTGTTTCTTAAAATTTATATTTCTATTAAAAAATAATATTTTAAAATAACTGTAATAAATTTTATTGATATATATAACTTTACTAAAAATTATTTTATAAAATTGGAGTGAGAGGAGTACTTTTTTATATAAGATATTGTATTAGTGTTTGATTATCTTTCGTAGTCCCTTAGAATGAAAGGAAGGAGAATTTCAATAAAAACTTTTGATCACGCTTATTTAAATTTAAAAATTTTAAATTTTTAAAATTTTACTGTAATTTAAATATACTAATTTGATATTAAATTTATGAAGAAAATAATAAAATTATATTTCATTTAAATTAATATTAAAACTGTCCTATTTCACTTATTTATTTGCTTATGAAATTTTGTTAATCATTTTACTTCACTTGTTCATTTTCTTGAAATAAAATCAAGTAAAAATATGGCAATGAACAAGTAAAGTAGGGCAATAAATAACAGTTCGTAAGTAAATGAATAACATACAATATAAAAATTAACAAATTATTTTAAGATGACTTAAACATTTAAAATAAAAATAAGTTAAGTAGTACAACTAACAACATGAGAGAAATAAATTAATAAGTAAAGTAGGGTAATGAACAGGTGAAAAACAAAAAGTCTTATATGAATTTAAATTAGGAGCAATTTTATCATTTTTTTAAAACTTAATATCAAGTCAATACTCTTAAATTGCAATATAATTTTAAAAATTTAAAGAATTTAAATTTAAATAAGTGTGGTTAATGAGATTTTGAAAGAACAAAAATCTTGTTAGAAAAAATATTTAGGAAAAATGATAGAAAAATTCATTTAAATCATGTAACTGACAGATTGATATCATGAAATAGCATAATTTTCCTAAAATTTCATGGGATTTTTCTATCATTGGGAAATTAAAAAAAATGACCAAATTACCCTTAAACAAAACAAAAATTTCAAGCCTCAATGTAGAGCCATTCTTGTGCTTTCTTCCATTTGCTTCGTCTTCTTGTTCTCCTCCTCTTCTCTTATTTTGGTTCGTCTTCTTCTCCTTCTCCTTCTCATTTGTGTTATTTCTTTTTGAGTTTCTGTACATGAGTTCCTTTGTTAGTTGTATAGTATGTAGGTAAGTTTCTTCTTCTCCATTAAAATTTCTCCTTTCATATGTGATAGTTGAATTTGAAGTATGTTAATATGCATAAATGATTGAGATCTTCATTTTCTTTTCATAATTAAGATATTCATTTTTTGATTTTCTCTGCTGTACATGGGTATGGATACTTACTCATACATAAATGATAAATGATACATTATTTTCAGTTGTGTTGTAAATACATAAACTGAAGTTGTAAATGACCAATATAAAGTTGTAAATATAAGAAGAATAGTTGTTGTTAGATTAAACATAACATATATATGATTATAATGTTTGAAAAATAGACATGTTGATGAATGATTATTTTGTTGTTTTAGGTTGGCATTAAAACGATTGACATGTTGGGATGACACTAGAAGATTCAACCTTTCATATATTTTTGTCAAATGGATTGTAAGGTATTTTGATGCAAGTTGTAGATCATGTAACTAATAACAAAACTTTACATAGTTGTCACTTTTTAGAGTTTTCTTGTCATTTAAATTAATAAAAGTTGTTATTTCTTGAATTAGAGTGGTAATGCATTTTTGCTAATTTAGTCAAGTTATAGAGGATACTGATAAATTACAATTCCTTGTTTCATTATTGAGAATTTAGGGACAAAAATTGTTAATTTAAGAATAAAAGTTGTGAATGAAAAGTTGTAAATTTTTAACATCTGATACATATCAGAACCTGCATATTCATATTTGTGAATGACTATTGAATTGTTGCGAATTTAGAAATAAAAGTTGTTAATATATGAACAAAAGTTGTGAATAAAAAGTGATAAATTTTTAACATTTGATGCATATCAGAACTTGCATATGTGAAGTTGTGAATGACTATTGGATTGTTGTAAATTTAAAAATAAAAATTGTTAATATACAAATAAAAGTTGTAAATAAAAAATTATAAATTTTTAACAACTGATACATATCAAAATTCATAGATCATGACTTGTAAATAAATATTAAATTATTGTAAATTTAAAAACGAAGATTGTTAATATATGAATAAAAATTGTGACTGAAAACTTATAAATTTTTTTAATTTAAATAAAAGGTAAAAGTATCATTTTTTATAATTTTTTAATGATAAAAATATTTTTTAAATTTTTTAAAAAATAATGGTATTTTATGAAATCAATATATCATTAATATAATTTAAAAAAATTTTATTATTATTTTCTCACATATCTATATTTCCTGACCGTTATTTATTATCTATAGCAAAAAACATGTGACCAATTAAAAAAAAAAAACTGAAACTTATCTCAGCAATCATCCCTACGTCACAAAATTAATTGAAATCCCACGCCCCCTTAAGCTTGCATTGTCGAGATTCACTCAAGACGAAGCTCCATCAGGCTGTGGATAAAGCCTAGGGCATCTCAGACACAATAAATGAGAAGCGTCGAGACTCTGGATGCGTTACATAGGTCGCCGTCTTTAGTGCCGTAATTTTTCAGCTCCTCATCATAACGCCTCAGCCTCCAACCCCAGCCACACACACTCTCTCTCTCCCCTCCCGACGCACCCCCTCCACATGCCCACGCCATCTCTTCCCCTTCCCTTTGTCACGCGATTCCTCATTTTCTCCCCCCCCCCCCCCCCCCCGCCCTTTCTTAATCACTCTATTAACCCACATTCAATAATTAATTCATCATTAATTAACTCATTATTATTCAGCTCAAGGAAGGTTACCAACTCTCAAGTTTCTCGACTAACGCTCTGCCTCTCGAGCTATATATATTCGCTGTAACATTTCTCTCCCAACGACCTATCCATCAAACAGCTCTCCCTTCTCTGTTCTGTTCTGTTCTGTTCTTTCTTTTCTCTGAAATACACACATATCGATGGAGACAAGTTCGTATGCAGCAGCGAAGCCCGCCAACTTGTGGGTCTTCACCCTCCCAGCCTTTCTTGGCTCCGAGCATCTTGTCGTCGACGCCTATGCTTTGCTGTCCATCTTTATCACCTTTCTCTCTATTGGCCTTCTCTCCTGGGCATTCTCTCACGGCGGCCACGCCTGGAAAAATGGCCGGAACTCTAGAGGACGAGTTCCTATCCCTGGTCCCCGTGGTCTTCCTGTGTTTGGGAGCTTATTCACCTTGAGCCGTGGCTTAGCTCACCGGTCCCTCGCCGCCATGGCTTGGGCTCGGGACAACACTCAGCTCATGGCTTTTAGCCTCGGCTTGGCTACTCCAGTTGTCGTGGCTTCTGATCCCACCACTGCCCGCGAAATTCTGACCTCGCCTCACTTCGCCGACCGCCCTCTCAAGCAGTCGGCGAAGAGTCTCATGTTTAGCCGGGCCATCGGCTTCGCTCCGAATGGAAGTTACTGGCGCCTTCTTAGGAGGATTGCTTCGACCCACTTGTTTGCACCACGGCGTATCGTAGCCCACGAAAAAGGACGCCAGTTTGAGTGCGCCGCCATGCTGTGCAACATAGCAACCGAACAGACGCAAAGGGGAACGGTTTCTCTTCGGAGACACCTCCAAGCTGCGTCTCTCAACAACATCATGGGCAGCGTCTTCGGCAAACGATATGATCCATCGATTGAGAGCGAAGACCTGAAACATCTCAAGGACATGGTTCGTGAAGGTTTTGAGCTTCTCGGTGCTTTCAACTGGTCTGATTACCTTCCATGGCTTAGCGCTATCTATGACCCACATCATATAAACGAACGCTGCTCGAAACTGGTTCCTCGTGTCAGGAAATTCGTCGGATCCATCATAGAAGAGCACCGAGCCGCCAAGTCTAGCAACCCCTCCGATAACGATGATTTCGTCGACGTTTTGCTCTCCCTAGAAGGAGAAGACAAGCTGGAGGAAAATGATATGATCGCTGTGTTGTGGGTATGTAATATGTTCATTAGTTAAAGCCGTGTGGATAGTTTCTTTTGTGAAACTGAATTGACTTGTTAGTTCAATGTCGCAGGAAATGATATTCAGGGGGACAGATACGACGGCTCTTCTAACCGAGTGGGCAATGGCTGAGCTGGTGTTGCATCCGAAGGTCCAGGATAAGCTTTACGAGGAAATCTACCGGATTGTTGGGGACGATGGGGTCGTCACGGACGCCGACGTGGCGAGAATGCCGTACTTGCAAGCGGTGGTGAAAGAATCACTGCGAGTTCATCCACCTGGTCCACTCCTGTCGTGGGCCCGACTGTCCACGTCGGACGTCCACTTAAGCAACGGGATGGTGGTTCCCGCCAACACAACCGCCATGGTGAACATGTGGGCCATCACGCGCGACCCCCGCTTATGGGACGCCCCGCTGGAATTCTCGCCGGAGAGGTTTCTCGAGAGCGAAGGTGGCGCTGACGTGGACGTCAGGGGTTTGGATCTGCGGCTCGCACCGTTCGGGGCGGGACGGAGGGTGTGCCCCGGGAAGAACCTCGGGCTCGTGACGGTGTCGCTGTGGGTGGCGAGGCTGGTTCACCGTTTCAAATGGGTCCAGGATCCGGCTCGACCCGTTGATCTCGCCGAGGTTCTAAAACTGTCCTGCGAAATGAAGCACCCACTGCATGCGGTAGTTGCGGAAAGAAGGGTTGGTTGAACTTGAATCTCTCGGGTCACTTAATGACGTGTTTGGAGAATTATGATTAGGATTATTATAAGAGGTTTGGCTAGGTAGTTAAGTTTACTGGTTATTATCAGAATTTTAATTATAATATATGCAATTTGTATATGCTTTTGCGAAGCAGCTTTTGAACTAAAACTGCTAGTATCTGATGTGAACGCATGTATAACTTCTATAATTCCGAAGTTTGAGTTTCCATTTTCCAATGTGTGATCATAGTATAATGTGGTACGCAGTACGCTGCTTATTTTGTGTTGGTGGTAGGAGGGATAGAATTTGATTGATCTCGTGTTTTTACTCCGTACTGTGTTGTAGTAGGATGACTCCAATTTTGGTCCAATCATTGTCAGGAGTCGGTTCATTATATTAACATTAATACTGTTCACCGATTAAGATTCTTATTTCTCTTGACTATGATATTCTAAGATTTATGGTAATTGCAAGTCCACTAACAACTATGTAATTGTTTATTCAGTCACACAAATTTGGTGTGTTTTATTAGTTCATCGGTTTTTGTCAAAACTAGCGAAGGTTACATACTTGCATGCACATTACTTTGGTCAAAATGAAGTTGCTTTGATCAAAATCAATAATACAATACTAACAAAGTATGGAGGTGGTATTAATGGCTTATGCAATGAATCTGTTGCCTTGTTTGTTTTTATTTGAGGATTATATATATCATGACATGTTGAGTTTCAATCAACGCGTTGTTTGTTTGGGTTATATATATATACATATATATCACGTTGAATGAGGCTATGTTTTTTTTTTTGGGTCAAAACTCAATAGATGAACTTTGGTGTGTCATTCAAGTCCCGCTTTTAAATTTCGGGAAAGCTTTGCGTGTCCCCAAGCTCCGCGCGCTGAACGTAAAGAGTGTGTGACGTGAGGCCCCAGATTCTAGTCCCACATGGCATTTAGTTTTTAATAACGTCAAAGATTGACTGTAGTGTAGTTGAATAATAAAATGGATTCCATACCTTTTAAACCCTTGGCTTTATTAGACGATAAAAGATTTGTTGATATAAATATTGTAACAAAGCATAGTTAATATAAAAAAAATCTAACCGATTTGTAGTTTTGTAAGTGGAAAAGATCATCTTTATTTAGAATTGAATAACATTGAACATTTGAATGTGAATATAGATTAGTTCCTGTTATGTATTTTCTTTATGTTGATCTTGGTTTAAAATACACACCCACCTAATAGATACTCATATAATAGATACTTCCTTTTTTTACAAAAATATGAAGCATTTTTAATCAAATATTATCTTTTAATAAATAATTATTAACTTTTAAATTAATTTTAATTTTTTATAAATATCTTATAATAAATAAATATAAAGTCACTATTTATAGGAATACTTTTAAAAATAAGATAATGATAAAACATAAAAAGAGCAAAAATATCTTATATTTTTTAATGGAAGGAGTATAACAAAATTTTATCATTTTGCCCCTCGTATTCTAACGTAGATCTTTGTATAAATGTATCTTATACATTATGGAGTGTAATAGTAATTGGGAGCAGGGATAAAAATGAAAAACAGTACTCCCTCCCATGCAAAAATATAAACAGTTTTTTAAAAAAATTTACAAATCAATAAAGTGTTTATTCCCGTAAAATATATATATATATATATATATATTTTACCTTTAGTCCCAATTATTAAAACACTTTATGATAGGCAAGAAATAAACTTACACAAATATTTAGGTTAGAAAATACAAGAGGAAAAATAATTTTTTTATATGTATTAAGTTGTTTATATCTTAAACTAAAGTTAGTTGAGAGAAAATGTTTTTATTTTAAACCAAAGAGAGTGTATATTTTTAAGAAAAAAAATTATTGGTACGCAAAGTTTTTTAAAAAAACTTCATTAAATAGTTATGAAAAACAACTGTTACTATCTTACTATCCATTGATTTTTTTTCTTTTTTTGTATAAAAATTTTTGGCTTTATTTCTTATGGAAGGATATTCCCTTGATAGAGATAATTCTGTTTGACATCAGTTGCCGATTGGATAACTACATGTTAGATTTTATAAACAACAATATTTTATTTGCATTGTAAATTAGGTGACTGATTTTTAGCTCACTAGTCATTACCAGTTGCTGATCTACTTAAAAAGGGATCGGCCACACCTGTGAGTGCTGGAGTTTCTTATTTGAAATTTTATTTTTTAATAATAAAAATTATAATTGACAAGCCGTATTTTTTATTCAATTTTTATGATTAATAAATTATGACTGATTCTTATTTTTTAATAATAAAAATTATACTTGTTAAGTTATAATTTTTTATTGAATTCTTATGATTCATAAAGTAAAAAATGTCATTCTCTAAATAAAATTTGTGATTAGAGTCTTTTTTTTTTTCAATGAGGTTAAAATATTTTTTTTACTTTAAAATTTATTGACACAGAAGTCTCTATAAATTTTAGTGAAATTATAACATTTTAAAAGATTAAATTATTATTTATATAATTCAAGAAAATTTCATTGTTATTTTTCCTTTTTTTCTTTCTTGAGAGGATCGGATCCATATACATGGGATGGGAACCATGAGTGAGTAAGACGTAGTGTTTTTTTTTTTTTTTTGGGGGGTGAGTGGTACGTTTGTATATAAATATCGAATCACTATTTTTGAAAAGAGGAGGATAAAAAGTATTTTTGAAATATTAAAAAAAATTAAAAATGAAAAATGAAAAATATGCTTTAATATATATATATATATTCTCAATCACTATTCAAATAAATATAATTGAAAAACAGATATTTCCTTATAAGTACAAGGAGCAAGCTCTATTGAGTGTTGACAATAAAAACCATCCCCCTTAAGATTACCAAGAGCAAAAAATGCATCTCTCAGGCTCACAATTAAGTTGACACATACAAAAAAAAAAAAAGGATACTTAATTATACATTTTCAAGATATAACTGTCGAAATAAAGATACTGCATGAAAACGGTATGGAAAATTGCAATAAGTGAAAATTTAACTAGTTAATTATTGATAAAGGATATTAAATTTTTAAAATTATTTTGGAAGAGTAAGGTTCCTTTCTTGCCCCCAAAAAAAAAAAAAACAGAAGGTATCAGGATGATAATGACCATTAAAATTGAAGATGAACATCTTTGCAAGTTGTTCTTTAAAAGGATTTTTTTCAAGGAAATTAACGTTTCAATAAACAAAATAATGAAAAAATTACATTCAGGATGTTTGTTACTGAAAAATTTCATAAATTTTATAAAATACTCTTAAATTCTAAATTTTACACATTAACAACTTAATTAGGGACCTCTTGATAACAAACTTGCTTTTGAGATTTGAAAATATTTTATGATATTCATAACACCTCTCAATATTATTATTATTATTTTGTAACATTTGAATGCTATTTTCTCAAAAATAATTATGAATAAGAAATTTATACGTATTAGTTATCACTATTAATAATTTAGCTCATGATATTTGCTGCAAGTCAAACATTTACTTCTCCTGTTTAAAAATATAAATTTTTTTTTGAGAAATTTGATATTAAAAATGTAAAGTATTTTTAGTCTTTTGAGATGTAATTATTATCTTTTATTTCAAAAATTTTCTATTAATAGTAATTATATATTTATTATGGTGTATTTAATAGAAATAAATATAAAATAGTATAATTAATTTAAAAATAGGTAATTATTTTATTAAAAGGTGAGATTTAATTAAAAATATTTTTTTATTTTTAAATCAAAGGAAATATCATTTTAATTATTCTTTTTTCCTTTATACACGGGGGAGCAGCACATGAGAATAGATATGGCAGATATGGGGTGAACATAACAGCAACAGTGGGGGGTATGTAGTGTTGGTGCATAATTGAGAGGGAGGAGGAGGATAGGAAGCGGTTACAGAAGAAAAGGGTGAAAGTGAAAAAGCAAAGAAAAGAAGAATGGAGGAGGGAAGCGGAAGATGCCGCAGCTATGCAACTGTGCAGGGACAGCAGTTTGGGCGTCTCGTCAAGGAAAAGATCTTCCCTCTCCCTTTTGTCTCTCCTTCTCCCATATCTTGTCTGCCACCACCACCCCACCCTATGCCATCAGGCCCTACCCCCTTCCTTTCATCTTTTCTTTGATTACTGCACCGTCACACTTCCCAGGTCGACCCGAGACAAACTTATTCAGAGATCCAATCCAAAAACCCCATCGGAAATGATAGGACCTTTCCAGGCGGCAGGTTCTATCATACACCTTTAACGTTGTTGTCCTTTTATTTTAAGACTCGAAATGGTGACCGCTGACTCAATTGGTATGATCCCTTGCCGTTCGATTTGAGTGCTTTGTTTGGTCCCATATTAAAAGGATTCAAGGAGATGATGGGTGGAGGATAGTGTTCCACTTTTTCCCCCCTTGGGGCATTTTTGTCTTTTCATTTTTAAATATATATATATATATATATATATTTATTAAAATTATAGCTTCACACCAAATGTATATTTTTATAATTTACTCCTCCAATCCTTTTGATAAGTTTTTCTATCAATTAGATCAATATCAATTCAAAAAAAAGTATAATGAATGCGCAAGTAGAATTTCAAATGTACCTTTATATAATAAATTTAAAAAGTGATGTTATATTACTTTTTCTTTTTATGAAAAATAATTTTAAAAATATTTTTTAAATATTATTTAAAAAGCTGCACCGTGACTTGTAAATAAGATCAAATAGACATTTTAAAATATGTCTTATAAATAGAACTGGAGAGAGTAATTTTATTTTGATTCCAATCCTGATTTTAATTTCAATTATAATTTTAATTTTATTAAAAATTCTATCATCATACCATACGAGCCTTAATCCAATTATTTTGCATATTGAATGAAGCCATCACAAGAAGGGACTCCACTCAAGTTGACTCAATTCAAGTTGACTCCATTCAGGTGAGCCCAGCCAGGTTGTAATGTGTACCATTTGGAGTTCATGTCCCTTCGTCTTAGAGCCAAGAAATCTATCCCAGCCTCAAATTGGAGATCATCAATATGGTTCTCCGTACTTATGAAAGTGATGTCCTCCTCACACTAGAGGGTCCCATTTTCTTTTTCTAATGTCACAACTTGTTTTAGGTCTTTCGTCTTGTTAAATTATGGGAGAATTTCAGTTAAAAATTATTGTAAAGATTTAATTTTAGATAGATTCAACAAAA